GTCTTTCGGAGAAATAGAGAAGGTCTTAAAACCTCAAGCCCATCATTCTCACCCTTCAACTGCTCATTCTTCTTAAGCAGACTAACACAGACGCGCTGCAGCTCATCCACTCCCTTCTTAGCATAAGCAGCGAAACGAAGCTCAGAAATTGCAAGCTTAAGATCTTGAATCTGAGGCGAATCAATCTCAGCAGCAAAGGGAGCAGGCTTTGGCGCCACTTTAACAGCAGAGTCCACCTTACCACTCTTCATAATAGCAAGTCTCTACAAAGGTGAACCGGACTTGGCTCCCAAAGAACGTCCTGGTACAGACTTCGGCACTGGGGGCATGATAAAACCTTTACGCTGAGCAATCTTATCCATAATTGTACTAGCCATTCTCAACATGGAAGATGCCACATGCTCAGATCTAGCAGCCTTATTTTTCTTCCCATTAGAAGAAGTCATGTCAATCACATACCTCTCGGTAGCAAGCGGACCCTCATGAGCAGCAGAAGAAGTCTTCAGTTTTTTCTTAACTAGGCATTTCATGAGCAGGCGGGGAAGATCTCTTCTTTCCATCTTCATTCATAGTAAGCTCCACGACAGCGATCAGACGAGCCAATGCATCCGCCTTGATCCTCTTTACCTCATCTTTCTGGAGCAACCCACATTTCTTTCAGCAAAGAAGACTAAGCAGCCAACGACATTCATGGTACTCAGCATGGGAGCTCAACCCAGCATTCCAGCAGGCAGAAGGCCTGCATGCCCAATATTCCAGCAGCCCAAGAGACCCGCAATCTCCTTATTTCTCTCAATCGCCAGCCTGGCCCGATTCAGGTCCAAGAGCCTAAAGGACATGAGCCATGCGGCTCGCCTAACACTGTGCCCTAGCGCCACAATCCTCGACCCCAGCTGCACAAGTTGCCCTTGGCTCAAGCCAAGCCAAGCTGCCCAAGCAGTGGTCCCTGCCACGACATCTCCTCAGCTTATGCCAAGCTAGCTCTTGGCCCCTACCAGCCGACGTGCCGCACCACCCCGATGGCTACCCCGCAATAGCACTATCCAAGAATAAGGCAAGAAAAATTAAATTTTTCTTACATTGGTGCGGCACGAAAAAGACGAAGAAAACAACGAAAGACGGTCCTTTGCACGGGCAAGATGTAGAAGATTGCTAGAGGAGGGGGAACAAATATCCTCTAAGATATCTCTCTCTTGTAGGGTAGAAGAAATCGCTCTCCAAAGTTGATTTAATAACCCACTTAAGGTGGACTTAAATAGGCTTTGAGAGAAATTTATTTCCCTTTCCTAGAAGGATCTAATTTCCTACTAAAGAGAGAATCTACATCAAAATAGGAAGCAGTCCTAAGTTTCCTAAAGCAAGAAAATCTCTACACCTGCTGCCCTTTTCTGCGAGCAACCCAACAGGTGTGGGGGCATTTGTGGAGCCAAAAATATTCACAAGGCGACACATGGTTTTTTTGGACAAAAAGGAAAAAAATACCCTTGCAGTACAACGAGGTTCCTACGCGCAAGCAGCGGGCAACCCTCTTTCAACCAAGACAGAAGTGCCCAAAATAGGTAACAATTCAAAGTCCATCTCATCAAATCCTTTCTACAAGGTAATTCCCAAACACATTCCCTTTAAATTATGTTAATTGGCTAATTAATGGGTTTATTGCCTAATTAACCCATTAATTCTCAATTAAATCATCCATTATATCCAATTAACCACAAAATACAACCAATTCAACCCTAAAACATCACATGGCCGGCCATCCCCTTAAGCTTTCTACCTTCCCTATCTTTTCCCACTTTACTACCCCAATTAAGCTAGCTAATTGATTCTATAACCATCCATTTATTCCCTTTATGTTTAATTAGCAAATTTATCATAATAAATTGGCTAATTAAACCTAAATTAAACCTAAAAACCCTAGCCACCTCCTATCCCTATAAATATACTCTCATTCTCACCAAAAAGCTAATTCCAACACTTTGGCAAAAATCCCAAAATTCTCTAAACACTCTTTCTCTCTAAATTCTAACTTTGGCATCGGAGGTTCTTCGGCCAAAGCCCCCCCATTCATCGTGGGCGCGTGAGGCTCTTGGCCTTAACCTAAGGTGTTAATTGTTTTGTAGGTGCAAAATCGTCCAAGATCGAGGAGGAAGAAATTTGCATCCACAATTGTGACTCTGCAATCCGATTCTGGTGGGGAATTTACCAATACTCAGTTCTCCAGTTTCTTGAAAACACATGGTATCATACATCAACTTACCTGTCCCCACACCCCGGAACAGAATGGTTGTGCTGAAAGGAAGCACAGGCACATCATTGAGACCGCAAGAACCCTTCTTGCTGCCTCTAAAATTCCCCATAAATTTTGGATTGATGCCTTTACTACAGCTATATATTTAATTAATCGGCTTCCCGCTGCCTTAAAGTGTTCTCCTTGGGAATCTCTCTTTCACAAATTTTCGGATTATCATACACTCAAAATATTTGGTTGCAAGTGCTGTCCCTGGTTAAAACCTTATGTACACTCAAAACTTTTGGGGTACAGTTTGCAACTAAAGGTTACAAGTGTCTCGATGTTGTTACTCGAAGGATTTATGTCTCCCGTTATGTGCTTTTTGATGAACTCCACTTTCCTTTTCATCACATTCTCACCTCTCCCTCTTTGTCTCCCCCTCTAAGTACTTGTCCCAATCCCATTCCCACATCTTTAACCTTTACCAATCTTGTTCCCACATCTTTGTCTCAGTCCCTTTCTTCCTCTTCTTCTAATCCTAATCATGCACCCCCTCCTTCCCCACCTTCATCCCCTTCTCTGCCACCTCAAGTTCCTCACCCTTCTTCACCTTCGGTTAATAATCACCCTATGCAAACCCGCTCTAAATCTGGGATTCACAAGCCTAAAGCCTACACAGCCACCAAACATCATCTTCCCTCTTCTCTATCCCTAGACTATATTCCACATACCTACTTACAAGCCTCCAAACACTCTCATTGGCGACAGGCTATGCAGGAAGAGTACAATGCCTTGCTCAACACTGGGACTTGGTCTCTTGTTCCATCCCAGCCCTCTCAAAACTTGGTAGGTTGCAAATGGGTTTTCCGCATCAAGAGGAACCCCGAGGGTACTATTGCCCGGTATAAAGCCCGACTTGTTGCCAAAGGGTTTCATCAACAACAAAGTTTGGATTATACAGAGACTTTCAGTCCAGTTGCAAAACCTGTCACTATTCGGTTACTTCTTACTATGGCAGCTCAATTCGATTGGTTTCTCAATCAATTGGATGTCAGCAATGCTTTTCTGCACGAGACCCTCTCTAAATCTGTGTTTATGGTTCAGCCATCCGGCTTTGAAGATCCTACAAAGCCAACTCATGTTTGTCGACTGCACAAATCCTTGTATGGGCTCAAACAAGCCCCTCAGGCATGGTATGAGAAACTATATTCTGCTCTTTCCTCTCTTGGTTTCCATGGTTCGCAGAATGATCATTCTCTTTTTGTTAAAAATGATCCTACCTTGGTATTCATTCTTGTATATGTTGATGATATCCTTGTTACCGGTCCTGATGCTCAAGCTTGTCAAGCTACTATTTCTCAGCTCAGTGCTTTGTTTCCTATCAAGGATTTGGGCCCTCTTCACTATTTTCTTGGCATTGAAGTAAAACGATCATCCTCTGGTATTTTTATTTCTCAGACAAAATACATTTTGGATCTGCTTCAGAAATCCAAAATGGATGGTGTCAAACCTTGTGCAACTCCCATCAGCACTTCTTCTCTGGATCATGAGTCTCCCTTATTATCTGATTCCACGGAATATCGATCTCTTGTTGGTGGGTTGCAATACCTCACTTGGTCTCGGCCTGACCTTTCCTTTGCAGTCAACTTGGTGTGTCAGTTCATGCATCAACCCCGGGAATCACATCTTCAAACTGTCAAGAGAATTCTTAGGTACCTAAAGGGTACTCTTGAGCTTGGTCTGTGGTTTTCTAAAACTGCCACACCTCTTAGCATCAATGCCTTTTCTGATGCTGATTGGGTAGGCTGTCACCTGGATCGACGATCAACTGGTGGTTTCTGTATCTTTCTAGGTAACTCTTTACTTAGCTGGAGTGCTAAGAAACAGCCTACTGTGGCTCGCTCTTCAACTGAAGCTGAGTATCGTTCGCTAACTAATTCTGCTGCTGAACTAACCTGGATCTGCAAGCTTTTGATTGATGTTGGTCTGCAACTTCCCTCTCCTCCTAAGCTTTGGTGTGACAATATTTCTGCTCTGCATCTTGCTAAGAATCCTGTCTTTCATGCTCGGACCAAGCATGTTGAACTTGATTACCACTATATCCGAGAGAAAGTTTTGTCTAAAGAGCTTTCAGTCCATTTCATCTGCACACAGGATCAACTTGCTGATATTTGCACAAAGCCTCTGTCCAAGCCTCGGTTTCATCTTCTCCGGCACAAACTTGCTCTTTGCCACCCTCAATTTAGTTTGAGGGGGGATATTAAGGCTAATATTGTAAAAGATAAAACTTAGAAGATACTTTTCTGTTATGGCTAATTTTCATGAGCTGTAAATTAGTTAGGTGAGCTGTCATTTTTCATAGGTTTATTGGTTGTATTGTATATATAACCATCTGTTGTAATCTTATTCATTAAGAAATATAATCATAAGTTTTTTATCAATGGGGCGCAACTTCCATCAATTGTTTGGTTAGAAACATGCATCTTAACAAGGCAAACAGATAACAATTTGAATACCCTTCTGTAATGGAATTGAATGATCGATATTGGAGAATTTTTTAGTACGATGTTGCTTTCAGCCATGTATGTGCAATGTAATTTAGTCCTTTCATCATGACTAAGGAGGAAGAAACAAGGCCATGTTTTCTTAATTTGGACCTGTTTCAGCTTTTTGAACTACTTGATATTGAATGAGTGTAATAGTATGCCATGATTTTAGTTGTCTTAAATTAACTAAATGATAAAAAAGAACTGAACATTTTGTTCTGTAGAAACGGAATTGACATAGAAGAGGAGATACACCGTGTTACTTACTTTGGCAATGGAAGAATGCCGGTAAGTTTTTCCAATTCTAATTTGAAAACTTTTCCTTCAAACCATCATGTTTGCATCTAATTGAAGATAGTGTATGTTGTGGGAATTTTTAGGGTTTTGATAAGAAATGCGCACCAAGGGGCCAGTGCACGTTTGGAGCCCGTTTGCAGGATGAAGAGATAAAGATTTTGGCTGAGTTTGTGAAGTTACAGGCTGATCAAAACTGGCCGAACATTGTAATTGCTGACTCAAGTTTTCGGTAAAATGCTTCTTTGTTTATTTGCATATATTCAATCGGTACATTAATTCTGGCATGAATCTGTTGGTTTATGATTTAGTGTAGCTAGTGTTCTTACACTCTCCTTCTACGCCATGTTCACTTCTCAAAAATGAACACTGATCGACGTAATGCTGGATTACATGCAAGGAAGATAATGTTCCATTTCTGCCTTTACGCCTTTTGTGTAATTTCTTGCACGTTCATGAGCTTGGTTTCATATATTCATATTTCTTAGGATTGTAATTTGTAAACCTTATACTTCAATGATTCATGATCTTAATGGAAATTCTACAGATATGTAGATCGAGCACTGTTTTGATTCAGTCTTGTAATGACACGTGTGAAGTCTGAGGAGTGAGGAGAGACATTGATTTTTCGATCTCACTCGATCACTAAATGTGATGTGTCATACAAGGAAATAGAACATGTATGTCGTGAATGCATAAAGAAGGTCATCTGTTGGAACCTCTGCTTCCAAATTGGACCATGGAAAAGGTTGGATGAGCAGCTTCTGCTTCCAACATCTTCCATTGAAGTAGAAGATGATTTAATTTGGGCACTAGCTCATGGAAAATGACTTCCCTGCACCTGGAGTACTGCGCTGGCGGTATCTAAAGCCTGCTCATGCCTTGACTTGGGATGTCATGTTGAGTATTTAAGTCAATCACGGATTGTTATGCGGGTCGGGCTAAGAGGATTAGCAAAAAATTCTGTTGGGGTTGGCTTATGATTTTGTTCCTGAGGGAGAGGACAGGAAAGGAGAGGGCAAATGACTGGGTTGGGCTAAATGTCAAGTAATTAGAAGGCATGACTGGGTTGGGTTTTGACTTTCTAGTCACATGCACATGAAGTCGTTGGTTTGAGTTGTGGGAGGATGATCCAACCCCAATTCAACTTTTGTGCCCCAATTTTATGCGAGATGGAAAAAGTCCCAACCCTAGAAGACAAAATATTTATCAAGAAAACAATAACGACGCATCATTGTTTTTTTCTTACACATTTTTTTGTTTTGTTTTTAGATATGGATTATATAAATCAAATAGAAACAACAAATAAAATTAAACAAAGATGTGTAGGGAGAGAAAATTGTTGTGTGGTTATCATCTTCCAATTTATCTATCCCGATTCATACCTCTAGTGTTCCTATCTCACATATCACCTGATAAGTAGACGAGGATAAGGAACGTGTTTTCTCTTGTAAGAGATCACATAATGTTGTATTATTAATAATAATATATCACGATATATAATAGCGTACTCGTGCTACACACACACATGTTGTACTCGTAAGAGATACTAACATGAAATTAACTGGGACTTGTCAAAGTTGAGAAATGCTAATTCAATAAGGAAAACCTCAAAAGTAATATTATAAATAAATAAATGTGAAAAAGAAGGAAGCTAATGTTGGCTATGTTGCTAGTGGAATGAATGAATGAGAATATGGAATGTGCCCAACTAAGTTGAAGTTTGCAGCAGCAACAAGCATATGGTTTTGACACGAGTCCTAGATGACGGTGCAACTAAATAATTCATATCATGTCACTTTGATTAATGCACTTAATAATAATTACCTCATACGGTATGAACTAAACGTGTTTGCCATGGTGGTTATACTCACAAAACCATCATTATCTAATATCATCACGAAGTGACTTAGTAATTGGGGACGAATTCCAGACTCGTATACTTCACAGCACGTCACGTGTTCGATTCCTAATTCTGATGAACTACACGATGGGGCCAGGAGAAGGCTTAATGCCTTTGTAAGTCTTCTTAACTTCAAAAATGATAAACTATTGTGGTGAGCTCAACAACCTGATCTCTTAAAAAAAATAATGATATGTTTAGTATAGCAAACATGGAAACATAATCACAATATACATGCCCCCCACCACATGGAATGTCACCAACTAATTGCCATGGCTGATTAATTTAACCAAACAAAATTAAATTAATAAAACTTAAGTGTGATCAAAAGACTCTTATGCAAGAAAACAAATAACTAGATAGTTCCGGCTATCTAAAATAATAGCTCTCAGTTTAGTGAGACTTCTCTTTTTAACGTTAGAAAAGATCATCACACATCGTTATTTGACTCTTAATTATCACTTTCTGATACAATCATGACGATATAAGCAGTCATGAACTGTTAAGTGAGAAAACTAGAAATTGTAGAAGAAAAATTTTAAGGAGACTCTATCAAAGTGGGACTCTACATGGACTTTCTGTCATCTCATATTTAAAGGCAATTTTCTTACAAACATTATAAAATATTATGCCAAAAATATAAGGTGGTAGAGAGTCGTTTTTACTAACTTAATAATCGTGTAAACAAAGAAAAATAGATGTTAAGTACATGATACAAGATGATTCGATTTGTCTTCGCTGTGATGGTTTTATGTTGGGAAAGTGACTTAAAATGGTCCTCTGCACATTATTTTTACGAAAATTAATAGTATGTTAGACTGAAGATTATTAATTTAGTAGTTGCACCAGCTCAAATTAAGAAGAAAAAAAAGTAAGGTTGAAATACTAATTACCAAGTTCCAAGGTGATTAAGCAAAAAAAATGAGGTACTTAAATCTCATAGTCCCGTTTTCCTAGACCTCATAGTTCAAAAAAATGGTGGTCACTCACGTTTGGTTTTAATTTGACAATGAAAAAAAAAGTATAACAACAAAAGTTAAATGATTACCTACCGTTGAATTAAGATTCAGTGGTGAGTGATCACCATTTCTCTTGGACCATGAAGTCTAACAGAACAAAACTGTAAATCTCAAGAGCTTTGAGATTTTAATTAAGTTCTACTTCCTACATATATGGGGTAGTTAAGCTCTCCCTCTCACTAATCAATCCTGGTTATATAAGTAATGAGAAATGGTAAGGAGACTCTTTTAAAGTGGAATTCTTCATGAAATATCTTTCACTTCATAGTTTAACGTTAATTTTCGTGCTAACATTATAAAACATTATGTCCAAAATAGGACACGACAGAAAATTTGGAGAGTACAATTTTTAAGAGAGTCTTTTTATAATATATATAAAATAGCAATGACTGATGATCAAGTCATAGAGATCACTGTAATGCAGTTAACAAGTCACACTAACCCTCTTTTAGTTGTTGTTACACTTTTTAATACAAGAAATTAAGGGAGAAAACTTTCCATGAATGATGCTCAGCGGATAAGACAACCTATAGATCCATTTTTTCAATGAATATTAAGTCGGACAGAAATGTCAATGGGAAGATAAACGAAAGAAGTATAATATTGGTTGCACAACCTGTCATATTTGAGGCGTGTCATCCCCAATATTTGTTCAACATATGGTGCCACTTTATGTCCTTGGCACGGAAAGTTTATGATCTACATTCCAAATTTCAACTAGGAAAACATGAAATTTAATTATAAGATGAAGTATAACTCCTCGTTTATGCCATTTCGCTTTCAATTTCATGATCTTTTGTTTTCTCCAAACTTTAAAATCTATAAGTGATTTGAAGGACTATACTGTGAGGTAGTTACGGTATTTTGTTCATTTTTATGTGTAGTTAGATTGTTGGAGACCAAGTTCCGGTCCATAAATCGGTTAATTGTTCTAGAGGTTCTTCATGGAGATGCGATAAATTCTATAATAGTGCGGCTTCTATTCGTGGTGGGGGCAGTCAAGGTTTAGAGTTATGGGTTAATTTAAAATGTTAGTTACTCTGGGTTGTACATGCGTGACTATGAATTATGTTTAAATTTAGTAATGTTGTTGCATTAAATTAAGTCTTTTATGTACTTCTGAGGTTTTATCTAGTTTTCTATGGAAAACTTAAAAGAGGACACATTAGATAAAAGGTTTGAGGATGGAAGGCAAGATTCAATGGGAAAACATGCAATATCTTAAGTTTATGACAACCAAAGAAATGGGTCTTCTTATATACCAATTTGTGAAGCATTCTCACCTTCAAGTATTATCACATCCCGGCCAGGGCCCCCACCACATCCGAGTTCGACTCCACCTTAGCACGATATTGTCCGTTTTGGGCATCGACCACGCTCTCAAGGTTTTGTTTCTGGAAATTTACACGAGAACTTCCCGGTGGATCACCCATCATGGGATTGCTCTCGCGTGAACTCGCTTAACTTCGAAGTTCCTACGGAACCCGAAGCCAGTGCGAGGTAGAGATGAGAATATACATATAAGGTTTACAAGATCCACTTCCCTGAATGATATGGAATGTCACAAGTATCATATAAGATCAGTTATCACAAGAGTTTGATTAGCTAGAGATAATGTAATCTACAAAATGATTCTCCACCACTCTTAATTAACAAATATGAGAGAGAAACTTATAATAATATAGAAGAGGGAACAAACAAAACCCATCTGCATCTGCATCTGCCTGCAACAACTACTCCGTCGTGAAATGAGTAGGATTTTCTCTCCTCCAATCCTCTTTTCTCTCACTTTTTTTTTTTTTCCTTTCTATAAAGAAATCAACATAAGATGTTAACATGACTTAAATGTGACCTAAACCTGTAAATGGATCGGGTTTATTGGATTTGGGTTGGGTTCAATCTGACCCGTTAAGTTAACGGATTACCCGAATCCAACCCGTTAAGCTAACGAGTCATCCGAACTCGACCCGTTAAGCTAATGGGTCACCCATTTCATCAGTTAACAATTATTATTATTATTTTTTTTTTTTGCATAGAGTTTATATTTTGTTGTTAAGATTTTATTGAAATTACTAAAACAACCTCAACTAATGGGTGTTAACGGGTCTAACAGGTTAGCCCAAAGTGACATGTTATTTAACGGATTCACCCGTTAGCGACCCGACCCGTTAAGCATCCACCCAAATACTAATATTAACGGATCGGGTCAAATTAACAGGTCGGATCCAAAATGTCAGGTCTACTGTGACCATTCAGATAGGAAGAAACTAAAAAGAAGGAAAATTTGATGGGAAGGGAATTATCCTCCGCGTGAAAATGGCAACAGAAGTTGCAAATAAAACCCTTATATTGGAATATATTGCTTTTATATTTTACAACCACCGCTAGACCTACCTTAATGATTTTTT